GGAGGGTCACCAGCACAGTGGTGGGACACGGCGAGCCCCTGTGCTGTGCTCTCACCTGAACCTTCTCGTAGGGGACGTCATCATAGACCACGCGGGAGGAGTCTGTCCGGCTGTCCTGGGAGGAGCTGGCCCACCTGTGGGAGGAAGGAGGGACAGCTGGAGTTCATCAAAGGCTTCCTGTCGGAGCCATCTCCAGCAGGTCCCTCAAAGGGCCCTTTGATCTCACAGAGCTTCCTAGATTGCTCTCCCAGCTACAGGCAGGAGCCCAGCTCCACTTGTGAGCACTCACCCTACCCTGTGCAAACACACACGTCCCTCAGGTCCTTCAAGCGCCGCCAAACACATCTTCTGCTCTATCCTGCCTGAGGGAAGCTGCCCTGCTTTGGGAAATGCCAACTTTTGGGATGTCAGCTCTCCCCTGAGACCACAGAGCAGACCGCTGCCTAGCCCGTGCCTTCTCTAGAGAGCACACGGGGCTCAGGACCACCATCCCGACCCCAACCCTCAGCCTCTCTCCAGCACGCCCTCCCCTCCACAGCCTGCAGCACAGTCAGTGGGCAGAGAGCTCCTTACAGGTAGGAGTGCCTCACAGCCGTCACGATGTTGGCGATCGTCTCCACATCCACGTAGTCATAGTGCAAGGCCTCGGGCGCTGTCTGGGAGCCCGTCTCCACCAAGAGGAGGCCCAACCAGCGGCCCAGATCTTCTGAGCAACTTGCCTGGTGGGGGGGGTGAAGGAGAGGCTCAGGATGCGCACGTGGCCCCGGGGGACCACCTCTCCTTGCAGCCTTCTGGCCCGTTGGCACCCCCAGAGCAAGGCGAGAAAGGGCTGCAGCAGGCGCCTGCCTCATTTCTTCCTCCCAACATGAAACCCCGTGGCAGAGAGGGATCTCTGGTAGCATGAGGCATGTGCACAAGGGTCCGGAGGGTCCAAGAGAAAGCACATGCTCAGGAGGACCCATTCCCAAAACCCCCTGCACCTCTATCCTGCTCCTCTGCCCCCTGCAACTTGCCTGCTCTCACCCTTTCAGCCTCCTCTCTGCCTCCAGCTTGCAAACGCCAGCACGGCTGCCCTGCGTTTCATTAACAGGCAGGGGAGGAGAGAGCAAGCCGCTGCACACGTGCAGGCTTTATTCCTTCCAGGAGAGGTTCCCCGCTCTGGCTCTGGGCACCTCCCCCTCCTTTGGGGACCCTGCCTACGCCAACGCACCTCCAGCGCGGACACCTCCTGCCCGTTGCGAAGGATGCGGAAAGCGAAGGGGTGTTTGGGGCCCAGTCCCGGCACCACCTCGCAGCCCCGGAGGACGATGGCGTTCACGTGGGTCCGTAAGTCCGTGCGGTCCTTGTGGAAGTAGAGGGTGTTGCCCTTCAGGCAACACCAGCGCTCCTTCCAGCACTGGTTAACCAGGACGTTGAGGTAACCTGGGGGGAAAGCCGGAGGGAAGGGTCTCAGCAGCTGCTTGGCAGCACCTTGGCCACGAGTACGGCTGGTGGAGGTGGGAAGCGAGAGCCACAGAGTCCATGTGGGCAGCCTGGTTCAGCACCCCCCCGGCAGCTCCTCTCCATGCTCAGCATCCTGCTGCGCTCACCAGGCTGTTTGTTCCTCCAAGGCAGGTGGGTGGTGAGTAACTCCGCTTTCAGCGGTGCGAGCCCAGGTGGGGTTTGCTTTTCCTCCGTCT